AGCATGTTTACAATTATGGTTTATGTTTGCTACGGCGTATAGTAAGAAACACTAGCATGTTTACAATTATGGGTCAGGTCTGCTACGGCGTATAGTAAGGAACACTAGCATGTTTACAATTATGGTTCAGGTTTGCTACGGCGTATAGTAAGAAACACTAGCATGTTTACAATTATGGGTCAGGATTGCTACGGCGTATAGTAAGAAACACTAGCATGTTTACAATTATGGGTCAGGATTGCTACGGCGTATAGTAAGAAACACTAGCATGTTTACAATTATGGGTCAAGTTTGCTAGTGTCTAGTAAGGAACACTAGCATGTTTACAATTATGGGTCAGGATTGCTACGGTGTATAGTAAGGAACATTAGCATGTTTACAATTATGGGTCAGGATTGCTACGGTGTATAGTAAGGAACATTAGCATGTTTACAATTATGGGTCAGGATTGCTACAGCGTATAGTAAGAAACACTAGCATCTTTACAATTATGGGTCAAGTTTGCTAGTGTCTAGTAAGTAACACTAGCAAAAAAATGACTGAAAGTTGAATGTATTATCCTGTTTGCATTAACTGAAACCCAAGTGCTAAACCCCAGGATTAAATGTTTATTCCCACGTTATTAAGCAAATATGATCTGCGTGTTACCACTTAAAATATTCAATGTCATAAAAAATTTCACGTTTATAGACCAGATAGACGCCATTGGTGACAAACCTCTTCGTGACGTCATCAAGAATATTAAAGATTGGCCTGTGACCAATCGCAAATGGAAAGTTCCCTCGTGGTCAACTGAGAAACTACTAGGTGTCCTTCGAGGCGATTACGACCTGGGAATTATAATCGAACAGTGGGTTGGTCCTGACGATAAGAATTCTTCAGTTAACATTATACAGGTAAAAAGTAAATATTAATTCATAATCATAATTAAATTATTTTGAGCATTGATACCACATCACAGGCTCATCATTTACTTGGGCTAGGCCTATTGAGTTTATTTAATTAATTGTGCGAAACTGTTGTAATTGGTGTGTTTTTATGGAAGAGGAATCGTATTTTAATTTTTTCCGGTTGTTCTTTACTATACATCGTAGCAAACCTGACCCATTATTGTAAACATGCTAGTGTTTCTTACTAGACACTAGCAAGCTTGACCCATAATTGTAAAGATGCTAGTGTTTCTTACTAGACACTAACAAACTTGACCCATAATTGTAAACATGCTAGTGTTTCTTACTAGACACTAGCAAACCTGACCCATAATTGTAAACATGCTAGTGTTCCTTACTATACACGTAGCAATCCTGACCCATAATTGTAAACATGCTAGTGTTCCTTACTAGACACCGTAGCAATCCTGACCCATAATTGTAAACAAAAAGAAAAGTGCTACTGACACTCATAAAAAAAGTTAACTGAAAAATAAGAATAAGTATATTTAGCTACATTATATTTATTCCATCTAAACCCCCAGATATTGTAATGTTACTCACTTGTATTCATTTCATCCAAACCCCCAGATATTGTAATGTTACTCACTTATATTTATTTCTTCCAAACCCCCAGATATTGTAATGTTACTCACTTGTATTTATTTCATCCAACCCCCCAGATATTGTAATGTTACTCACTTATATTTATTTCTTCCAAACCCCCAGATATTGTAATGTTACTCACTTGTATTTATTTCATCCAAACCCCCAGATATTGTAATGTTACTCACTTATATTTATTTCTTCCAAACCCCCAGATATTGTAATGTTACTCACTTATATTTATTTCATCCAAACCCCCAGATATTGT